TATATCCTTTTTTAATTTTATCAACATTAATATTAATGAAAGATTTAATTAGAAAGTCAAACCAACGCTTTGAGTTAGGAATGTCTATATTAGTTGCCATGTATCATAAATAAGTAATTAATCAGGAAATCTTGAGTAGAGTCACGTTGAGTTATTTAATTGGATAAAAAACATAGGTATACTTCTTCAAAAACTTTAAATTCAAAAAGGATCCAATCAAGTGGATGTGAGGTACTCCCTCCGGTCTCATTTATAAGAAAAAAATTAACTTTTTATATACATTGAATAAGTAATGTATTTGGACAATATATTATCCAAATACATTACTTATTTAATGTATCTAAAAAGTTAACTTTTTCTTATAAATGAGACCAGAGGGAGTATGTTACATGTGCGGTGGTTATAAGTGCTCAAGAAGAAGCAGGCACTGCTGAGGAGGACTCGAGTTCGAGCGAACAGGAAGCAAGTACTGCCAAGGAAGTGGGTGGTAAAAACATGTCGATGATGGCTAGTATTGTATATGTTTTTTTAAGATTTCAAACTCGTTTAGAAACAACCAAACATATCAAACACCATTTTGTATATAAGACAATTAATTCAGACAAACCTAAAATAATTTTTATTACTTGTTAGAGAGTTCGGGAGAGTTTGAAGTAACAACTGAATCAATGTTTTAGGATTATAAAAAAGAAAGATGCAACATCTCAATCCAAAATCTTAATGTATTAGGTAGATGAATTCTCTCTCTTATAAATCCAACAGTCCGCTCATTCATAAGTAATGTGAGACTTTAACCACTCACACATGCACCAAATATTCTCCCCAACAAGTGTGAGTTTCCCACATCCTATAATAGAATTCAACACTGAAACCAGCTCCCTTCCTCCATCAAGGCGAATCAGACTCTTGATACCACTTGTTGGAGAGTTCGTGAAAGTTGGTAGCACCAATGAGATCAATGCTACAAAACCGCAAGAGAGAGAGACACAACATCTCAATCCAAAATCTTAAGGTGTTAGGTAAATTCAACATTCCACTTATTCATAGAGGGACTTTAACCACTCATACTTGCGCCCAACATTCTTCTCTACAAGTGGTAGTCCCCCACATCCTATAACCAAATTCAACACCGGACCCAGCTCCCGCTCCTCCCACAAAGTCAAACTACGACTCTGATGCCTGAACTACGGCTCTGATATCATTGTTGAGGAGTCTGAGAGAGACGAGTGCACCAACATAATCAATACTCCAGGACCATAAGAGAGAGACACCACATCTCAATCCAAAACCTTAAAGTGTTAGTTAAACTGATTATCTCTTATAAATTTCAACATCTCATCCACATTTGCACCCAATAAATTGACATGCTCAGATGTAATACCCGATAGACCTCTAAATAGTTCCTCAAAATCGAATCGATTTGACTTGTCAATACCACCGACCCTGTAGACTTCCAAACCGATTTTTAATTTCTACACTATCCAAACATGTTTCTTTTATCTTGGTGAATTAAGATTTTAAAGGATACTTTAATATTAATAATAAGTGGATCCAAATAAAATTATTTATTTTAAAAAATGGAGAGAATGACAATCCGTCCATGAGACAATATATGGAGATATATTGTACACGTATCTCGTTTATTTTCTTAATTAGATGCATGTGAAGGGAACATCTTTTTGTTACTATAAATCTCATTCTATTCTTTACTCAATTATATGATTTTTTTGAAAGAATTATTCTTTATATGATATTCATTTCAATCTATAGTATCTATACTATTAGTATATAAATACAAAGAGGAATTCATTTTTTCCTCTAGCTACAACCTACAACTACTTTATAGAGCTCGATTCTTATATGGAAAGAATAATATTGATTGATAGTATACACATTGGTTGAGTATACATATTAACACTTCCTTGATGGAAAAAATTATAGAACTTAAAAGAGTTTAAAACTCCCTTCCAAGCAATCAATTTAAGTAACTAACTCAATTTTTAGTTCTCACCAAAGAATACCGTGTGAACTTTGAATTCATATGATGTTAAAATTTTAAATACACCATATATTATTGGCATATCTGGATTTAGGTCCACACTTTATGCTGAAATGTATCAACCAAAAAGCACATAACCAACAATATTGATTTGGTATAGTGAAGTGAACAAGTCCTACAACTTTCTAGGTTGGTAACATATAAAAGAGCTATTAATATTCCATATCCTATAGTACTATTCAATTTCCTTTTTCCTAAGGTTTAAAATTTGACCCTTACAGAGAATTCAATAGATGTATTTATGGTGTTCTTTTTTGTATCAGTGTATTTATGTTACTATGTTCTGCAATTACAATTTCACACTAAAATATTTAGGTAAAATGTAGCATTCATTTAATAAATACTTTACCATCAAAACAATATAAGCCTCTTTTGTTGGCAAAATGAATTATAACTAGTTGTGTAATACCATAAGCTCCATTTTGAAATCATTTCCATGATTTTTGTTTAGAGTTTCATGTTAAATAAAATATAAAATAAATACGTATTCATAAATATATTACGTTGTTGCCATAAAATTCAATTTTGTATAGCTGAATTCGACTTAATTTAAGTTTTATAATATAATCCATATTTAAATTTTATAATATGAGAGTTTATAATGTATATGCAGTTGTAGATACATTATATATGAGAGACAATTAAAACCACTTCACGTTTCATGGTGTGAAACACGGGATCCGTTAGATGATATCTAACAATGGACAATTACTTGTGGATCGAACATGAGTCTAACATATAATTGTAAGTTTACTGATCTCTCCATCCATTCGTGGATACGTCTATAGACAGATAATTGAGCCTACACGTCATTGGGCCTATGACCAGCTCAAAACATATTTAATATTTTTGTGTTGCGGTCACGATATCAATTACAGTGAATCTTGATAGTACATAAACATATATTTCTCTTGCAATTGCAATTGTGATTCCATATCATAATTTAGATCTCTGGTCGGCACCCATATGGGATCAAAAGCTAAGAACCATCAAAGGGCAGTTTAGTAAAAAAATAACCATCCATGAGAATAATTGAACAAGTGCTTTTGATCTTGCAGCTTTAAACTGAAGATCTCTATCCACTTTTTCTTATTCCATAGGGTAATGGAATACAGATCCATTTCTTCTCCTGTTTAAATTCCTTTTCTTTTTCAATCTCTGACAAATTCCACATGGTAAAGGAGAGAATTCGAAGCAACAGACCCACCCCACGTTGTTTTGTTCACATGGAACTAGTAGGAAGGAAATGACCTTATGTAACATATCTGTCCCACACATGCATACCATAGCATAACTTCCCTTTTACTTTCCTCTTTCCTTCTCTTGTTTTTTAATAAGGATTTGTTTTTTTCAACACTTCCTTTATCTCTTGTCATCTTTGTTACACTGTTAAGAGTTTTATGTCGGACAAAATTTGATCTGAACATGTATTTATAAATTATGTCTGGTCAACACTCGTTAGACAATCACAATTAGGTCATTTTTATCGGTCAGTCAATTTGACTTGTGAGACATTGTGTTAAAAGTCCGTATGTCTTTTAAATTGAAGTTATTGAACTTAAAATATGAATTGTTTATTTTTCATTTATTTCTTGTAACATAATTATTGAAAGAATATTTTTGGGTGCAAGAATTGAGATATTCTATTAGAATAGAGAAAAGTGATTTGCTCGCTAAGAGAGACGTCAAATAAATTAGATAAATAGATCATTAGAACAAGACAATAATAAATTCAAACCTAAATTTCTAATAATTAGGTTAAAATCACATGTTTAGACAATTATGCAATTTTAGTAGTTTGATCATAATCAACTTGTATTTTAATTTATCAAAAGAAGACTAAAGCAGAGTTATAATGTGAATTGTGAGATCTTGATTCAATAGTCCATATCCAAAAGCCTTATCATCTTACCAATCTCATGTTTTTGAATTAAATTTATCATAGTCAACAATCCATGTAATTAGTAAGTCAATGATTATTAAATCAATGTTAGACACTTTAAATTTCAATAAAAATTTCAATTTTATAAAAATAAAATAATAAAACTAAAATTTAAATTATTTGGTCTTATTAAACTAATTCATTTGGTAGATATGCAGAAACGTCAAACTTAAATAGTAGAGACGCAAGTTCGAATTCACGCTATCCTATTTATTCACATCTCAACCACCGAATTACTTGATAAACAAATCTAAATAATCTGATTTAAATTCAATCAAATTTCGAAATGAATGCATTAAATTGTCTATTGTCAAAAATTCAAATTCCAAATTCTAAGCATCATTATCTCTCTCTTTCTCTTAATGTAATTAAAAAAAAAAAGATAGTCACAATTCTAAGCAACCTATTTTTTAACATTCATAAATTAATAGTGCACCACAATTCCTTCCTAAACACAAAAAACAACACACTCTGTCTTCTGGCCTCTGCATCTTCTTGAGAAACAAAAACACTAAAAATAAAAGCATTATTCCTCTGCTCTCTGTCCAAACTCAGACAGAGAAACCAAAAACATCTCTTCTTGGTTCTCTCAAATGAATCTCTCTTCATTTTCTGAATTGTTAGTCAACAAAAGGTAAATACTAAAGTCTATTGCAGCATTCTGAAATCTTTATATTATATATTACATTCTAAATTCTAGTCAATTTATTTATGATAGTCGCAATGTTAACCTATATAGCACAGACATCTCTGAGAAACCACAATGTTAACCTATATAACAGAGACACTTCTAAGAAACCGTAATGTCTATATAGCACAAACATCTCTGAGAAAATGTGTATCAGATGTCTAACACGTGTCAGATGTCTAGAAGGTGTTTTCATATGTTTCATTTCATAGATGAAAGCTTATGATTTTGTTACTTTTATGGAATTCAACAAAAGAAAAAGAAGAAGCTTTGTGGAAACTTCATAGTTGAAAGGAAATAATCAAACAAATATGTCTGGAAAAGGTTTGAAATCTATGAAAGATGAGAAGCATGATTTGCAGAAGCAGATTGGATGCATCACTGGATTTTTCCAGCTCTTTGATCGTCACCGGTTCATTACCAGCCATCGCGCAACTAGTTACATTCCGAATTCATCTTCTTCAGGTATTCAAGTATTGAAGTCTTCGATTTTCGTGGTTTTGTTAGTATTCGGCCTAATAATATCGATATTTATCAGTTAGGTCTAATTCAAAATTTTCTTCCTTCTTAGGTGTAAAGAATCAAAAGATTGCAAAAGAGAAGCAACAATTCTCTACCGAATCATCGATAACATCGGTGTCTTCATCGTCTTGTTCATCTAGCATGTCATCCATTGATTTCAATAGAATAATCAAGATTGAATCATCGTCAACGAAACATATCCAAACTCCGAAAAAAACACATTCGAGACATCAATCACTTGATTTCTATGATGTTGTCAAAGACTCAATGCATAGAGAAGATAAAGGTTTATATGTGAAAACATTAACTAAGGAAGCCAAAAAGGGTGAAGCTTATGCATTGAATAATCAACACATGGATTCTCCGAGGCCTATGCTATCGAAGAAATCTTTCGATGGAGGAGTTAAGGTTTCGAAAGAACCGTTGCATAATCTTTCGAAGTCGAGAAAACCACACTGGGACTCACCGCGACTCTCTTATGATGCGGTGAAGTCCGCCACAGTGCATAAGGAACTTCCTAGGTTTTCCTTGGACAGCAAGCAAGGTTCAGTTAGACGGATCAGCGAAGGAAACAAGGCTCGCAACGTGTCGAATGGTTCACAAAAAGAATTAGACACACCAAAAAGATCATCAAGTGTTGTTGCTAAATTGATGGGACTAGAAGCTCTCCCGGACTCGACACAAACTAATCGAGCGTCTATCTGCTCAATCGATCAAATACAGCTTAGAGCAAGAACCAGCACAAATGATGAATACAAAAAACACCAAAGTCTGGCGTCCCCGAGCAATAGAAGGGATGATGATTCAATAAAAAATGTGAAACAACATTCGCGATTCGCGATGGAATCAACGAGTCCGTGGAGACAACGTGATGCAGACCAAAGTTCTTTGTTAGAAGATTCTTCAAAGGGAAGCCATTCTGATACAAAAGCATCAAAGTCCTCGATTTCTGTATATGGAGAAATCGAAAAAAGGCTGGCAGAACTCGAGTTCAAAAAGTCGGGAAAGGATCTACGGGCCCTTAAACAGATTCTTGAAGCAATGCAGAGATTCACAGATTCATCATCTGAAACTAGGAACAATAACACTAGTCTCAGTGAAAGTTCTAAAGTCCAAAGCCCAAGAATACAACAAAAGGACTCGAAATTCATCACGGTTGAGTCGTCGAATTCAATCCTTGATAGTAAATCGCCAATTGTCATCATGAAACCAACAAAAGTGACTAGAAAAGCCAATAATACTCCTTCAACCGAATTTTCAATTCATCGAAGATTGGTCGAAAAACAAAAGGCTAAAGGTATTGTCTCAACCGAAAAAATCACCAAGGAACCTTCAAAATTGATGCAATCATCAAAATCTTCTCAAGACAGAAATGGAAAAAACACCATCAACTCCGATAGCATAACGGTATCTAGGAGTCCAAGACTGCCGAAGAAGTTTGAACTCGAGACACGTTCTCCACCGACTAGTGAGTCATTCGCTCCCGCGATTAACAGAAAACAGCATAATAGGCAAATTGTGGAGCTGTCAAAGAATTTGTGTTCATTACATAGACACGACTTCTCCATTTCGCAGGATAGAGATGAACATTTTAGCGAAACAAGTTCTCATTCGAGAAAATTTAAGCATCGTGTTAATGTCATTTCTTCGGATTTTGACAATAACAGAAGCTTGGACACTCTAGAAATTGTTCGGATCGATCAATCTGCCAATATCAATCAAAAGGTAAGTATTTCTTCATTGCATAGTTAGTTAGATTTTTCGATCAAAACCGATTAGTTAAACATTATTTTTTTTGCTGGTCAGGATGAATTTGAAGAGTTGAGGAATGAAAGCTCTAAGGCTGATAAAGTTGCAAATGCTGAACAGCCAAGTCCAGTTTCTGTTCTTGATGCTACATTCTATAAGGAAGATCCACCGTCTCCGGTGAAAAAGATATCGAACATTTCAAGAAAACTCGGTAAGCAACTTAGATCGAATTTCGTACAAGAATATTATCTTAAGTCTCGGCTCGTATACAAATCTCGACTCGTACACGAGTCTCATCTTTTTATATCGCTGTTGTCCGTTTGCCTGCTATTTTCGTTTCACAATCTTGACTAAAGATTTGTATAATCTTGACTTGATTTGATAACCAGAATCGAAATTCGTTCATCAAATGAACCACTAAAACCAATGTGCATTTTATGGCTTTACGAAAATCATCATCGAAAAGATTTCGAGTAATATTATACTGATTTTCTTTAAATCTTCTGCTATAGATGAAGTTTTAAGCATCAGTGTTGATATTGAGGAGAATTCAGTTGATCAAATTCTTCGAGAAATTGATTGGAACGATGAAAAACTCGTGAATTTCAATAACATCGAGAATCAAGATCATAAGTATATATCAGAAATACTAATAGCTTCAGGTCTACTCAATCATCGAAACTCTAACGAGTTACTTCATTCACAAGGCACCTTGATTAACCCGAAATTATTCTTAGCACTTGAACAAATGAAGACAAATACGACGCAATTCAATATTGAATATGGTGAGAAGAACATTTCCATAGGTAATAGTCCTGAGAAATTGCAAAGAAAACTCATATTCGATGTTGTCAACGATATTTTAGCAGAGAGAAAACTAAAAGGGAAGAAGCTTTTCGAAGAGCTATGTATAGAAATAGACGAGTTACAACCTCGAAACAAGAATGTCAACTTCGTTCACGAGGATGAGAATTCGATAAGTCTATTGTGCAGAGATTTGAAGGATTGGAACACGGTTTGGACTAACCGTTGCAGCGAAAAATCGAATATCGCGTTGGATATCGAACGGTTGATCTTTAGAGACTTGATAACTGAAGTTTGTGAAAGATGAACTAGAAAACAGTTTTATATTTCATCTATTTTATCTAGCTAAAGTTATAATTTGAAAGAGGTAATAATTTGTAAAATTTGTTTTGATTTGTTAGGTAATAATCTGCTTAATTGACAGATGAATGTATATTAATATTTACTTTCATATAGTTAATAGAAAGATATTGAAGTTGAATTATTTTATTATTTTGTGCTAATTATGGTTTATTTTGTATTATTTCAATTGAAGAACTTATTTGCCATAGATGAAAATATTTTCGATAAATTATTCACCTTGTTCAGAATTAAAAAATTACAAATAGAAAAATGGCAAACTACAATTAAAATGGGAGGGAAAAAAAAATTAAGGAAACGGGAAAACGAAATTGGAAAATATTAAATATGATAATCAAGTATTTTGGAGACGATTTTTACCTCCCCTACTCAAATCTGAATTATCAAACAATTTTAGTTATTCCATCACAATTCTTAATAGAAACTAAGAATTAAAATTCAAATATATTTCAAATGAATTCGGAATGGATTCAAGTATTCTTGTTGCTACCATGCATTTATGTAGTATAATCAAATATTTTTTTTAATAAAAATATTTATTTTTCTCAACATCAAATCACAAATGATAAAATAAAATAATTTTAAAAAACTACATAAATATATTTTAAATAATAAAGTACAAATTAAAATATTAACTATATATTTAATATTCTAAAATATCAAAATTAAATAATAAACAGACCAGATTCAAAGTGGATACACTATGTTTTGTAATTGAGGAAAACCTAAACCTCAACCGGATCAAAACAAATTTTCCTCGTCAAATTCGGAAAGTGTTTAGATGGATCTTCAAAAATATGTGGCAATTTCTTATCTCACCCTTATACATTCTCCTAGATCCTGCGAGAAATTCCCAAAATGTCCTCTGTCTTCAGAGATGCACCTCCGGCCGCATCAAAAATCATTTCTTCACAATAAAATTTGGAGATACATCTCTGAAACCTTAAAAGGGTGTGTTCAAAGATGCATTTTCGAACAAGACCTTCTTCTAGAACACAACATGACAGCAAAATAAAAAACATATCAACACCAACATTAATATTTCATTAAATAAAAACATTCATCACATAAATACTCAAGAAAATAAATTCAACATTACATAACCGTTTCATTGGGATGTTGCAACATAATGATTATATCCTCGACGAATCGTTGAATCTTTACATCCACTTGAATCAGACCATTTGATTCATAATGGAAAAAAATACTCCACATAACCTTTAAATCTTCATTCGTCTCCAGTTCAAGGTTGGTGAAATGGACATTTCCTTTGCTGTCAAATGAGGGTGAACTATACTTGAGCTTGACAACTCTGCATTTTTTTGGAAAATGCATCAGAATATTCAGTTTGGATATCATATCTGCGAGAAATTGATTGGAACGATGATAAACTCATTAATTTCAACAACATCGAGAATCCTGATCATAAGTATATATCTGAAATACTAATAGCTTCAGGTCTAGTCACCGATCGAAATTCTAACGAGTTACTTCATTCAAAAGGTACCTTGATTAACCCCAAATTATTCTGAGCACTCGAATAAATGAAGAAAAATATGTCAAATACAACGCGATTCAATATTGAAGACGGAGCGAAGAACATTTCCATATGTAATAGTCCTGAGAAAATGCAAAGAAAACTCATATTCGATGTTGTCAAAGACATTTTACCAGAAAGAAATCTAAAAGGGAAGAAGCTTTTCGAAGAGCTACGTATAGAAATAGACGAGTTACAACCTCGAAACAGGAATATCAAGTTTGATCACGAGGATAAGAATTCAATAAGTCTATTGTGCAGAGATTTAAAGGATCATAACACGGTTTGGACTAACTGTTGTAGCGAGAAACCGAATATCGTGTTGGATATCGAACGATTGATCTTTAGAGACTTGATAACTGAAGTTTGTGAGAGATGAACTAGAAAACAATTTTATATTTTATCTAGCTAAAGATATAGTTTGAAAGAGGTAATAATCTGCTTAATTTCTTTTGATTTGTTAGATAATAATCTGCTTAATTGAGAGTTTCATATTTGTTTTTCTTCATGTATTTTTTATAGACTATGTTCATAAATACATGGAGAAATACAGGTAAATGTATATCAGTTTTAAATTTCACATAGTTAATAGAATATTGAATTTGACTTATCTTGTAATAATTATGGTTCATGTTGTATGATTCCATAACAGGTGATATGTGTTCAATTGAGAAAGTTATTTATTCTTATAACATCGACAACTTTAAAAAAGATGTGTGTTTGTGTTTGTGTCGATATCTGAAACTGAAACTGATAATTATGATTATATTTAATATAGAATTTATTTATTTTTTAAAATTATAAAAGATATCATCGTGTCAATGTATATGTCGTGTTTTCAGTATGTAATTTTTAAGGTTCATTTTACTCACAAGTTTTAAAATTATGGAACTAACTTATCCATCATTCTTACTTATCAAATATCATCAATTACATTATCCTTATATGAAAAAAATTTAATAACCTTGCTCATAATTACAAATTTACAGATAGAATTACAAAATTGCAAACTAAAAACTATGGCAACTGGGAAAACTAAATGAGAAAAAATATGGAAAAGAAAATATTATGATCCAATTACTTTACTAGTGGGTATGCATTTTGATCTTACCGGTTGATTAGAATCTAAAGGTGGGTCTAGATGATGACGTCTATTTGGATGGAAATATATGAAGAGGAGGGGGTGTACCTGTAAGACACTCCGACGATCTAGTGAGAAAGAGTGCAAAGAGATACAAGAAAGAGATTAGAGTTTTTAGTATGAATATTAGATATCTGACACTAACAAGTATGAGGGCTTATATAATTTCCCAAGCGTAGCCATTGGTCCATATCTTTAGGCCTGGTGTTACACCCTAAAATTTTCCCTCTTTATTGCGATCCTAATTGGCTTATATTGCATTATCATATTGCATGCATGCATTTCATGGGATCAATGCTATCTGATCAACAAGCGAGCAAGTCATCATTGCGCTGGTTTCTAGGAGTATAATTGCGCTTAGAGTTGAAAAGAAATTGGACGTTTCAGTGAATTTGAGACAGTGTGTAATTGTAATCGACGACCAATTCATTGTCTTGCAAATATTCCAAAATTCATAACTCCGATTTGGTTCATCATCTCAAGATGGTTTTTGCATCAAAAGAATCCTCTTGATATGTACTTTATTTCGTGTGCTCAGGCCAAGAGCCAATACCTCAGGGAAAGCCTCTGAATAAGCGGATCTTCTGAAAATGTACAAGTGAGAATATTGTGAAAAAGTGCTGAAGGTGCGGTTTTTGCACACTAAAAATTCATAACTCGAAGACCATTTAATATTTTGAACCCGTTCCGGTGGAAATTTTTTTGTCTTGATATCATCTTCATTTTGTATTTCACTGTTGGAAGCCAGTTATACTTAGAGAGTCTTCGAATATATGAATTTATCAAATATGTTCGCACAAGAAAATTATGACAAATGTTCACCTGCTTCATCTTCAGAAAATCATAACTTGGTCGATTCTTATCGTATAGAGCTGGTTCTGGTGGAATTGGTTCCCAAATTGAGTTGGCTAAATATTTCTTTCAGGTTTTCAATTCGAACGGTATCCCAAAGGCCTTCATTTTTGGTCCAAAATGCGCGCAACGCATTTGAAAATCCTAAACCGAGAAATATTTTCATCCTGAGACGGAACTTCAAAAAATCATTACTAAATCACCATTTAGCCGATTGATCCCATCTTTGGGCATGATGTTTTTCTCGATGTTGACTACATTTTAGTTTCACATTTCAACTTATGAAGTCGCGCCGAGGAACCTTCGAATTTGACCTTAAGGTGTCGGACTCTGATGAACTGAAAATTTTCACATTTGCTTGTGTTTATTGGAGGCTCATTCATTCAAAAAAGGCACACTGTATATTCTTATTCAATTAAATTTTCAAAGAGGACTCTCATGATTGACCAATTCTCAAAAACACTCAAAAACTTTCTCTCATCTTGCTCAAGGATCAAAGAGCAACTTTCTCTCATTTTCATCAAGAACAACAACAACTTTTCCAACAACTTCTTCAAGGTCCAAAAGTCAAAGAAACCCAATTCTTCTTCGATCTCGAATTTGATTGTTTCGATCTCTATACCTAAGCTCCCTCTTCAATTCTACGGTAAGATTTTCTTGATTTAATCACTTTTCAAATAAGTGATTCTTAAATAAGCACTTTTGTGGATCGATAAATTGAACTTTGATCTAATTTGAATTGTGGAAGTAATTTCGATTATGAAAATGTGAATTGATCTTGAATCATGATGTGCAAATCCAGAATTGGATGATGAAATAAGTACTAATTCAATTAATTGATTTATCATGAAAGTGCTTATTTGAGAAAACAAATTGTTGAAGTTGTTTCAAGCTTAATTGATGATTCTTGATTGATTGTGTGTCGTATAATTTGGATCTCTAATTGTGCAAAAATCATGAGTTGAATTTTGGAGATTATGTGTTTTGACAAAATGCTTGAGCCATTGTGCCTTGATCTTACGGCGTGATTCAATTGATTTTTGGTTGCGTACAAATATCCTTGTGCTATGGTCATAGCATAATTTATGTGAATTAGGTTTTTGATCTGATAAAAATGCGTCGAAACTCATGAAATTGGATCATGAATTCACATGTCAATCGTGCTAAGATCGGGGTGTTTGTCTTATAATTTTTGTTGTTTTGGCTTTCATTTCGTGCCATGGATATTCTATGATTTTCAAGCTTTCCAACGATTCGAGCCATGCGCGAAACAGATACTTGATGCAAAAGTTATGTTGCTTCAAAGCTGCAAAAATTGCACAAAATTGCACTATCAGGCAGTTTGAGTCGACTCAAACTTAGCTCCAATCGACGCAAAAATGAATAAAAACCATTTTCCACCCGCGGGGATTGTCGCGCTGACCCTATGAGTCGACTCAAACCTATGCTTCGATGCATACAGTGCTTTGAGTCGACGCAAACTGAACAAAAACCAATTCTGGCCACTTGCAGGAAGTGTCGTGTTAACCCTTTGAGTCGACTCATCCCATCTTTGAGTCGACTCAAACTGCCAGTATTGCTTTTTTTTTTTTCCGTTTCTTTTGCCTTGCTTTGTCCTTGCTTTCTCCAAATACTCTTCTACTCTTTTATACTTTAGTTTTCCTTGTTATTTCTAACATGTGTGTTGATTGTGAAAGGTACATTGGGATAGTTTTAGATCATGTAGTTATCGTTTGATTATATGATCGAAAAACTTATTTAGACTTTCGATTTATGGTCCAGATTTGCGTTCGACACACATGCCATTTTTTGTGCTCCGTATCTTGTATAATTGTATTTTGTACATGAACTTTGTGATACGGATGTGTCCGTTAGACATTCTGATCTTGCTTATTGATGCTTTGACGCATATTCTCAATGTATTTCTTTGTTGATGGTAGCAACTTATGAAGTTTTCTGGGTTTCTTTGCTATTGCTCGGTATTTACGGATTAATATCCGTTTGGTATTTATCTCATACCTTTTTACCGCATTCGTTATCGAGTTCTTTATTGCTATCTAGAGATCATGAGAAGTAGGAAACATGAAATAAAAATAGTGTGCGCTCGAAGTCGCTGTTTAAAGTCCTGTAGCAGGCACCACTTTCTGTATGCTAATTGTGATTATTTAGAATCCTACCTTTGAAGTAGGTATTCCTCAAAAGCAGGCAAGCGAGGAGGATCTGCAATCGACCCCCGTACATTCTAGTCTGTGTCATTCTTATCTCATGTTGTACGTCAATGCTTCAGAGTTGTGTAAATCATGGTTATCGAGTGGTCAAGTGGAAAAGGGATCTGTGATCAACCCCTCACATTTTGTCTTGAGCTCGCGTTGGTCGACGTTGATACTCCGTGCTATTTTCTTCTATCCTCTCCCCGCTTGTTTGCCTCGATTTATATGACCCCTTGGCTAAAGCATCCCTACCTGATTTTATACCTACCTTGATCGTCTATATCATGGTTAGGCATTTGACTCGAGTTAGCATGTGCTGCTCACGACATATTGTTTATGCTCTCTTGAGCTTGTTGGCTTGCTTTCTTGATTTCGTCTTTGTTTGCATGTTTTGAGATGATGTACCCTCGGCATGATCCCTTAGGAGCTCTCGTTTCAACTATAGATGATGATTCGAGATAGACATAGTTTTAGGTGATAGACCCTTTCTATGCTCCTTTAGGACTTCTTGATTCATCTATAGATGATGATTTGAGATAGACATTAGGATTATTATCCATTCATGTCAACATAGGTTAGAGTTTCCCCTTTAAAGCTCAACTTTAGGGTCAATCATTTGTGTGATAACACTAGGGATAGATTTAGGTTATTCTCCCTTAGATGTTTTCTTTTCTTTTGCATCCTTTGCATAATAAAACAAAAACCTTTCTTTTCTTTTTCTTTGCAAATCATAAAACACTTAAAACTTTCAAATCCTTTCTCAAGGTAAAAAAGACAAACCAACACCTTTCTTTTTGCCAATCGGCATTTCTATTCTAATAACATGTTAGTTCCCTTCCGCTACAGGTCGTGAGTCTCCAAAGGTCGAGCCACAGTGGATTTATTCGAACCTAACATTGTTCAATTAAAAAACACGAAACAAACCGAAACATGTGAGCCAAACTATGACTGCTCTGATTCCTTAAAGGGATACGTAGGCATTGGGGTAGGGTCCGAACGAGTACAACTTTTATTTTCCCTACATTATTTTCTCCTTTCTTTTCCATGCATTCTCTGTACAGCTTAGATATAAATTTGAAACATACCCATAGATTAGAACAATAAGAATGGATACCGTAGAGTACTACGGGCGTGTGGGGTGTTAATACCTTCCCCTCGCGTAACCGACTCCCTTAC